CCGAGTGGCTGGCACGCCGCCAAGGAGACGGCGATTTCACAACCAGTGGAGGAGCAAGCGGCCGTGGAGGACCGGCCCCACCGCCTTCGGGAGGAGACGTACAGCGGCCCCCGCCGCTGCCGCCGCCAGCGGAGCCGCCGCCGCCACCAGCGGCCGCCGACCCGCCGGCGCCAGCCTCAGACTCAGGCGATGCTGCCGCTCCTGCAGCCACTTCCGCCGCTGCTGCCGCAGATTTTCGACCTCCTGAACCTGCCCCTCAGGGCCCGGTCGACGACGACATCGAGTCCGATGGCTTGGACATGATTCGAGAATGGGCCAAGAATGCGATGGGCCAGGCGCGCCGGGAGACGATGTTGCGGCGCCCACCGGACACCGAGAACCAGCGCGGCACCAAGACGCAGCGCCAAGTTCAACAGAAGAGCGCACCAGTGGTACTGCAGCGCGACCGCCAGCACGAGCTCGACCCCCGCGAGCGCGCTGCCAAGCTCAAGGATCTTTTGGACGATCTGCCCAAGTGCTTCAAGAGGCCGAAGGACACGAACCAGGTCGACCTCTACCTAGATAACTACTTCCAGTAGCACGCGGACGAGCTCTACGCAAGTACACGACTCCGTGAGGCACTGCTCACGGGCCACGCGACCGCCATGGGGCTCAAGTACGACGCGCTGAGCGCCACCGAAAACAGGAACATCGGCGCCGCCATGAAGACCGAGTGGTCCAAGTGGACGGAGTTCGGCGCCTACAAGAAGTTCCCGCCCACGGGGCTGAAGGAACTCTTGCGAAGCAACCCTGGCAAACGCCCTGTGGGCGCACGCTGGGTGTTGACCAGCAAGGGCCAGAACGTCGCGATGGCGCGCCTGGTCGTGCAGGGATGCCAGGAGTACAAGTCCCAGATCAGGACGGACGCGCCTACAGGGTCCAGGGACGCGCTGTACCTGACCCTGGCTACCGCGGCCCAGAAGGACTGGGACATCTCGTCCTGCGACGCGATGGTGGCCTACCTGCAGTCGGGTAACATTGAGAGGCTACTGCTCCTGCGCATGCCGGCCAAGAACCCGCTGCCGGGGACCCAGCCTGGCGAGATCGCGATGGCCACAGGCGCGATCTACGGGGCGCGCGATGCCGGGAGGCAGTGGTACCTCTACGCGCAGAAGGTCTTCGCCGGGCATGGCCTCGTGGAGAGCAAGCTCGAGAAAGGCCTGTACTACTTCTACGACGAAGGTGGGCTCGCCGCGGTGGTCAACTCGCACGTGGACGACTTCCTTATCGCCGAGCGCAACAACTCCACCAAGTGGAAGACCACTATCACATCGCTGGTGAAGAAGACACACCTCAAGCCAGTCGAAGGGGTCATCAAGTACTGCGGACGTACGAATACCAAGCTCGACGACGAGTTCCGCGTGACCCAGGCCACCGCTGCCGCACAGGTGGGCTAGGACCGACTCACCGCCACCGAGGTGACGAGATACCGCCACACGCTCGGGCAGCTGTCGTGGCTAGCAGTGCAGACCCGGGTGGACATCGCCTGCCCGGTGAGCTTCGCAGCTCGACGCACCAACGTCGCTACCGTGGCCGACGCGAAGACGCTCAATAAGACAGTCGCGTATGTGCATTCCACCGCGAACTTCGCGATCGTGCTCAAGCGCAAGCTCGTCGACATGAAGGCGGCCATCACCGCGTGCTTCAGCGACGCCGCGTTCGACAACGTGGACGGCGTCAAGAGCCAGTGGGGCATGGTGATGGGGCTCACCCATCGTCCGCGTGACGTCGTCGGCGGCCGTTACGACCTGTGCCTGCCCGTCGCCTGGCACTCTGGCACAGTCCAGAGGTCGGCGAAGTCGACCCTCGCTGCCGAGGGGTACGCTACCCTCGAGGGATCGGAGACCAACATGTGGTTCCGACAACTGCTGACCGAGGCCTACAACCCCAAGACGGCGCTCAAGCAGATCGACGTGCTCGCCGACAAGCGCCCTGGGGAGATCTACAGCGACAGCCAGGGTCTCGTGACGCACATCGCTTCAGACGTGGGCCAGTCTACCGACAAGCGCTTCCGCATCGTCGCCTCCATGATCAAGGAGGCCGTGCACCCCAACAGTGCGCTCGAGCTCAGCTGGGTCCCGACCTGGACCATGGTCGCGGACGCCTTGGCGAAGAAGATGGGGGCTGGCGTCCTGCTGTCGTTCTTCGGGGCTCGCAAACACACCTATGGGGCACGGCAGCCACGCGCTGCCATGCTCGCCTCAGTCCTGTTCACCTGCCTCGGCAAGGTCAAGGGGCAGCCTACGCCTACGCCGACTATGCCGGACTACAGCTTCTACATCTGCCTGCTGACGTTCACGCTGGTCTTCGGCATGACTATCGGTTTCGGCATCTTCGTGACGCTCCGGGCGATCATGAGGCAGAACGCCGCGATCGCCACCGAAGAGAGTGTCACCGAGGCGAAGGCCATGGGCGAGCACCCTGGCTGGGGCGGCCGCATGCTCGGCCGACGCCGCAACATTCCACCGACTATTCCAGAGGACCGTGATCACGATGGTGACATCACGATGTCCCACGTGGACGTGTTCAGCAGCGCACAGGCATCGAGTTCAGTAGCATCTGCTACGATTCAGCAGCCGCCACCGCCGCAGGCACCGACAGAACCACCACCTGCCATCGCACAACCACCGTCATCACCATATGCCGCAGCATCAGCACGGGGATCTGGACGATCAAGATCATCAAGGTCGCAGGGAAGTTCAGCTCCTGCATCACCGACCGTGGTTTCGGTGACGAGTTCATCGAGTTCCGTTCTGGCATCATCAGCCAGTGTTGTGTCGTGGAGCGGATCTTCCCCGACTGTGCAGCCGAGTGACATGTTCAGCTGTGTGACAGGCATTCCCCATCATGCTGTTGTCACTGGCCACAATCCACACAGTGTATCTATTACTTGAAAGACCTGCAAGAAGCACGCATCGTCGCTTCCTCGGCACTATCATTTCGGCAACCCCGATTTCACGATCTTCCCAGAGAGTGTGATGAATGACCTCAGGGGCCGCTGGTGGAAGCTCACAGGCAGAGACGTTTGGCGAGGATCTGATCTGGCGGACAAGGCGGCGAAGCCGAAGAAAGAAAAGTGAATCCGGCTTGGTTTTTGGATGGCAGTTTGGCCGATCGGACCGGCAATGTTCTACTGCTCATACTGTGCGCCCGGTCAAGATTTATGCATTCCGCATCGTTGCTCATACTGTACGCCCGGTCAAGATTTATATATTCCGCATCGTTGCTCAGACTTTACGCGTGGTAAGGGTTTACGTATTCCGAATCGCCGTTTTCTTTACTCCAGGATAAGTATCCACACGTAACACCTCGTTTTTTTTTTTTTTTTTTTTTTTTTTTTGTTTTTTTGTTTTTGAGAAGCTTCATTCGTTTCAGTGTGCACAGTTTTTGTTGTGATGGCGATCGCACCCGCTTAGTATCTTGAGAAGATGGCTATATTCCTTTTGGATTTTGTCGCATCGCGATCGAACCCTGGCCATTGCTGAGTATACCTTGTATGCCATGCAAGCCGTTTGCTAGCTCATCTCCGTGTATTGCCAGCGAGTGACTTGTTTGCTCTAGTCCCCGCTCAGGCCTGTCAGAGGCCGCCCGAGACGGCGACTAGGAGGAGTGTGAGTCAAGCTCACTCCCGAGGGGTTTGTGTTTCATCCCTTGCTCGCCGCTGCCTTTTTATTTCGAACTAAGGGCCCGTGGCCTTAGAGCTACGCCCCTCGCGAGGCCGCGAGTAAGAATATCCATCGACTATCTCCCATATCACAGATGATGATGCATGTGATTATGCTTTTGCGGATGAGGATGAGGATGATGAGATAATTATAGTGCTGCTGTTGATGATGATGATGGCGATGATGCTGCTGTTGTTGTTGGTGATGGCAACGTGTGCGACGAGGATGAGTACTGGTGAGGGCAGGGGGGGGGATGAGGAGGACTGGGAGGCAGTGGGGATAGGACGGAGAGTAGGATGGGGCAACTGAGGAGGCGGATGATAATGAGTAGGAGGAGAAGAAGGAAACCTACTTGATGATATGATGGAACTGGTGACGAGGATGGTGACGATGGTTATGCTGCTGGTGATGGTGATCCTGTTGCTGATAATGATGATGATGCTGATGATGATGATGATGATGATGGTGGTGATGATGATGATAATGATTGTGGTGGTGGTGTTGGTCGTGGTTGTGGTGGTGATGATGATGCTGATGATGGTGTTGATGCTTATGCTGGTGCTGATCATCATGCTGATTGTGATGATGATGATGATGATGAACACGACGATGCCGACGATGACGCTGACGACGATGACGATGACGACGACGATTATGCTGAGCATCATGACGATGATTCTGATGATGATGATGATGCTCGTGTTGATGATGCTGGTGACGACGATGGTGATGCTGTTGATGATAACGGCGATGCCGACGAAGACGATGAATACGATGACGATGACGACGACAAAGACGACGATGATGATGATGAAAATGAGGATGATGAGGATGATGATGATGCGGATGCTGCTGATGATGGCGACGCTGACGACGACGTGACGGTGAGGTGTGAAGATGGGATGACGATAATTCCGTGATTATGTTGGTGATGGTGATGATGGCGATGATGGTGGTGATGGTGGTGATGATGCTGATCCTCATGCTGATGCTGCTGATGATGGTGATTACGATGATGACAATGCTGATGATGCTGATGATGGTGGTGGTTGTGGTGGCGATGGTGGTGGTGGTGACGATGATCGTGGTGGTGGTGGTGATGGAGATCATGATGATTCTCCCTCTCCCGCTCTCTGTTTCTGTTTTTCCCACTCCCCTCTCTTTCTCTTTATCCTCTTTCTCCTTCTCCCTCTCCTTCTCCTTGTTCTGTTCTTCCTCCTCCTCCTCCTATTTTTCCTCCTCATGCTCCTGCTCCTCCTCGCTCGTCCTCCTCACCGCGCGTGCCCGTCTGGAGAGGCCCGGGAGCTCATGCAGAGGCTTCACGCCGGCTTTCAGAAGGGCCCGCCCCGCTGCTGCCTCTCCTTGCCCTCCTCGTCCCTCCTCGTCCTTCGTCCCTCCTCCTCGTCCCTCCTCCTCGTGCCTCCTCGTGCCTCGTCGTCCCTCCTCGTCCTACATGATTTTTCCATGTTCTCCGTCATCGTCCCCGTCCTCCTCCCCCCTGCCCTCCTCGCCGCTCTCCTGCCGCTCCCGCTGCTCCTCCCCTTCCTCACCCTCGTGCGTCCTGACTCTGCTCCTGTTTGTCGTCGTCGTCGTCGTCGGCGGCGGCGTAGGTGTCGGCGTCGGCGTCGGCGTCGTCGTCTCGGCGTCGGCGTCGGCGTCGGCGTTGGAGTTGGTGTCGTCGTCGTCGTTCGTCGTCGTCGGTCGTCGGCGTCGTCGTCGTTGCTGTCGGCGGCGGCTGTGGCTTTGTCGTCGAGGAGGAGAGAGGAGAGAGGAGAGAGGCAAGCTAGGTGTGCAAGCGTTTTCTCGGACGTCCTACCCCTCCCTCCCATCCCTTACCATGGCGTAGTTCTCCTCTCTATTCGCAGTCGGATGTCGAGCAGAGCAATGATCCCGAGAGGGTGCGAGATCCATGGTAGTGCGTGGCATAGCACAGCGTAGAAACGCGCGGCAGAGCGTAACATGTCCCGGGAAACATGCAAATGACCGGTTCGGAAAGAGCGGACGCGTACGATGAGAGCCAACGTTGTAGCGGGAAAACGATTTGGAAGATCCGCGACAACGAAAATAGGTCAGCTTTGCAGCGGGAGTGGGATTTGGAAGGATTGAGATTCAGAATGGAGCGCAATTCGGGACACCGACGATGTTCGGATAGGACGCAACACATATGATCGACCACTTTTGGGGGATCCTATGTGCAAAAAACAATACGCGGAGGGGTGCAGGCTACGACCTCGGAGTTTTTTCGGGAGAGAGGAGCGTAGTATTCATGTGGTGCAATTACAGACAGGAGCAGTGAGGAGGAAGGAGGGAGAAGGAGGAGAGAGGAGAGAGGAGAGAGAAGGGAGGAGGAATGAGGGATGATGGTGATGCTGATGATGATGATGATGATGATGATGATGATGATGATGATGATGATGATGATGATGATGATGATGATAATGCTGATGTTGCCGATGATGCTGCTGCTGATGATGATGATGATGATACTGATTATGCGGATGTCGATGATTATGATGCTGATGCTGATGCTGATGCTGATGCTGATGATGCTGCTGATGATGCTGATGATGCTGATGTTCGTGATACGTATGATGATGGTGATGATGATGCTGCCGATGCTGCTGATGATGCTGATGATGACGACGAGGGTGAATATACGATGCTGCTTCTGCTGATGATGATGATGAGGATGAGGATGAGGATGCTGATGCTGATGCTTATGATGCTGACGATGATGGTGATGATGTTGTTGCTGCTGCTAATGATGTTGATGATGGTGATGCTGCTGATGATGCTGATGCTGCTGATGATGATGCTGATGATGCTGATGCTGCTGATGATGATGCTGATGATGCTGATGATGAGGCTGCCGATGGTGATGCTGATGCCGATGCTGTTGCTGCTGATGCTGATACTGATTATGACGATGCTGCTGACGACGAGGCTGATGATGATGCTGATGATGATCATGATGATGATGATGATGACGCCGATGATGATGCTGTTGATGATGATAGTGATGATGCTGATGCTGCTGCTACTAATGTTACGGTTGATGATTCTGATGCAGATGCTCATGATCATGACGATGATGCTGATGCTGATGATGATGAGGCTGTTGATACTGATAATGCTGACGATGATGAGTTTGATGATGATGCTGCTTATGATGATGACGATGCTGATGATGCTGATGATGGCGGTGATGATGACGATGATGGTAATGATGCTGCTGATGACGATGATGATGACGATGATGCTGCTGATCATGCTGATGATGCCGATGATGATGCTTATGACCATGCTGATGATGGTGATGCTTATGATTATGATGAGGATGATGATGCTGATGATGATTGTGATAATGCTGATGATGCTGATGATGATGATGATGGTGATGATGATGATGCTGATGATGCTGATGCTGATGCTGATGATGGTGATGGTGATGCTGCTGCTGCTGATGCTGATGCTGATGCTGCTGCTGCTGCTGCTGATGATGATGATGATGATGATGATGATGATGATGATGATGATGATGATGATGATGATGATGATGATGATGATGATGATGATGATGATGATGATGATGATGATGATGATGATGATGATGATGAGGATGACGAGGAGGAGGAGGAGGAGGAGGAGGAGGAGGTGGCGGGGGAATGGCGGGGGAATGCCACAAGCAACATTGATACTTGGACGTATACGAAATTCATCACACATGCAATGATACTGTGACCAGGCCGACGACGAATACTTCCAAAACTTCTGCGAACAACGACATCAGTATGAATGCTGACGGGAATGCCAGTATGCAGGGGGAAGATGGTAACACATCGTGCAACTTGTTGTACGCGTCATAGCAAGATGGGGAGGGGAGGAGGAGGAGGAGAAGGAGGAGGAGGAGGAGGAGGACCAACGTCAGCGCCTACGCCGCCGTCGACGCCAGCACCGACGATGGCACCAACGCCGGCGCCTCAGCCGGCATGAATGCCAGCGCTTACACCAGCACTAGCGCCAGCATCGACGCTGGCACCAAAGCCCGCGCTTACGCTGGCACCAGCGCCAGCGTCTGCGCCAGCACCCACGCCTGCGCCTGCGCCAGCACCAACGCCATCGCCTACTCCAGTACCGACACCAGCGTCGACGCCAGCACCGACGCATGCTCCTCCGCCTGCACCAGCACCAGCGCCTCCACCATCACGTCCAGTTGGGCGTCCAGACCTTTACGTCCAGACCGTTACGTCCACCGCCTACAGCAGCCCCGACGCCAGCAGCGCCAGCACCGACGCCAGAGCTATCGTCGGCGCCTAATCCAGCGCCGACGCCAATACCGACGCCAGCATCAAGGCCTGTGCCTCGGCCAGCAGCAACGCCAGCGCCTACACCAGCGCCGACGCCAGAATGGACGCCAGCGCGAATGCCGCGCCCGCGCCGACCACCGTTGCCAGCACCGACGCCAATGCTGGCGCCTCAGCCAGCGCCGACACCAGCACCGACGCCAGCAGCAACGTCTGCCCCTACCCCAGCACCGACGCCAGTGCCTACACCGACGCCGACGCCAGCACGGACGTGAGCTCCAACGCCGGCACCTCCAGCGTCGACGCCAGCATCAACGCCTGCAGGCACCAACGCCGGCGCCTGCACGTACACCGACGCCAGCACAAACGCCAGCACCTACGCCAGCGTCGACACCGGCACCGACGCCAGCATCCACGCCTGCGCCTCCGCTGGCACCAGCGCCAGCGTCTACACAAGCGCCGAGGCCAGCACCGTCGCCAGCACCAACGCTGGCGCCTAGGCCAGCACTATCGCCAGTGCCGTCACCAACCCTGGCCAGCACCGACGCCAGAACTATCGCCGGTTTCTGACCATGGCCGACGCCAGCATTATCGCTTGAGCCTGCGCTAATACCATCGCCAGCGCCTACATCAGCGCCGACGCCAACACGAACGCCAGCACCAACACTGGCGCCCACGCCAGCACGAATGCCATCGCCCATACCAGCGCAGACGCAGGCACCGACGCCGACGCCGACACCCGACACCAATGTCAGCGCCTGCGCCAACACCGACGCCAGCACGGACGCGAGCCCTAACGCCGGCGCTTCCTCCAGCGCCGCTGCCAGCGCCGACGCCAGCACCGACGCCTGCGCCAGCTGGTACCAGCGCCAGCGCCTGCATCAGCACAGACGCCAGCACCAACGACAGCGCCTACACCAGCACCTGCGCGTGCGCCCACGCCAGCACTGACGCCGGTATCAACGCTTGCGCCTTCGCTGGCACCTTCGCCGCCACCACCCACATGGGCTACAACATATTATCCCCGATCATACTCGCCACGACCTTCGCTATGACGCTCGCCGCACTGGGGGCCTCGTGATGTCACGGAATACCCGCCTGGACGTGTCACGGTTTCCGCCCTCGCCTTGTCGTAACGCTTGCCGGCTTACGTCGAAGCGCACGCCTTGAGCAACACGACGGGCGCCACGAGCAGCACAGCCCCGTGAGCAGTGCGGCTGCGTCATGCAGAACGGCGTCAGCAGCAACTTGGGGACTTACAACGCGATTCTGGCACCCAGTCGGGGTACGACGACGGAACACTGGGACTCCGACCAACGGGACCGAGCAGATGGGCCCCACTGCAGGCCAGCCCTGCACCCGCCAGTGCAGCCACCAGCGCAGCCCAGGATGCGACGACCTCCACAAGCGCGACGAGTGGCTCCGGTATCAGCGGCATGTGCACGACGATCAGCAGTTCCAGGACTATCACAACGACCACGAGTTCGACGAGTGCGAACGCGAGATCGACGAGTGGCTCTGGCACCAGCGCCGGCAAGACGACACTGAGCGTCACGAGCATGACGGCTAGCATCTACCCGGCGCCCTGCCCGGTGCCCTACCCGACGCCCTTCCCGACGCCCCACCCGTCGCCCTACCCGACGCCCCACCCGACGTTTTTGGGGGTTGCCAGCCCATCCTCCTGAATCGGCCGTCCACGACGGCCAGCAACTCCAGGATAGGGATCCGACGGCCACCACCTGGATCCCACTGTGTGGCGGCATCCTTGTTTCGGAGTCTTGGCTCGCTGGCTTTGCATGTCGTTCAGACCGTTACGAGTGACCAGCACTGTGTGGCAGTATCCTTGCTTCTGGCCAGACTGACGCACCCATCCCGTCGCAGTGCCCCGACATCCAGTAGAGGACGAGTACATGCACACCGTGACGTGTACCAGCATCATTGCAGCCGCACAGTCAGACAGCCATCGCCGCCTCAGCAGCAGGAGGAATGGAACGCCAGCGCCTACACCAGCACCACCGCCAGCATCGTCGCCAGC